GACAGTTTTCCCCCGCCAACCTAGAAACATGCTCTCATGCCGACACAATGCTTCTCGAGTAACAGGGTTCTCTGTTACGGGAACTCGTGCAGTACTCCGTAGTTAATAATTTGAAACTCACATTCTACATTCTCCATTAATGCATTTCTCATTGGGAAGACATGTGCTGTCAGGATCGAAATCCAGTTCGGTAGCATTCGCCACACATCTACGTTCGCTAGCCACATTGAAGAATACTGGAATCAATATCCTCAAATCGATCACTTCTAGAATTTATCCTCAAAGTTCAAAGTGAGCGTGGAATAGTCACACCCAGAATGCTTCCTTAAAAGCAGTAGGCGGGTGTTGCTAGTGTCATTGGTGGAAGGACTGGATGGGGTGTGGTCAAACTGTCTTCCATCAATGACGATGGCAACCACCGCCCATCCCTAGCCGTCGCGCTCACTACCTTTGTGTTTGAGTTTTCCTACAGATTGTACGCAAAGGCGGATGGCTCGCAGGCATCGCGGAATCGCAAACTATGAACTCTGCCGCATAAGAGAGGACTTTTAGAGGCGCTAAAATAGTCGGAGTGGGGCACAAATCTTGTAAGGCTGCGTTCATACCTTGCGGCAGCGTACGCCAGCGTTTCCAGGTACTATTGAACTAGTCCTACCCCAAAAACTCAAAAAAAATTTTCGCTGAAACGTTGCCTATAGATGTAGTTCGATGCCCTGATCACGAATATCACATTCGTTTTGAGCGCTGGCGCCATTTGGCGCCATTATGCGCCAATTTGGCGCCACCACTTTTTCACCAAAGTCGGTGAAAACTTGTATATGGGGGTTAATCGACATCCTGATCACGAATATCACAATCGTTTTGAGCGCTGGCGCCATTTGGCGTCATGGTGCCATGTCGGATTCGTAATCAAGACCCAAATAACCACCAGATACAAGTTTTCACCGATTTCGGTGGAAAAGATGGTTGCGCCAAATCTTAGCGTAATGGCACCAAATGGCGCTAGCGCCAGAAACAAATGTCGGATTCGTAATCTCAGGACCTCAATAAACCCCCATATACAAGTTTTCACCGACTTGTTGCGCCAAATTGGCGCATAATGGCGCCAAATGGCGCCAGCGCTCAAAACGAATGTGATATTCGTGATCAGGGCATCGAATTACATCTATAGGCGACGTTTTACAGAGAAAAAAATTTGAGTTTTTGGGATAGGAGTCGTTCAATAGTGCCCGTTTCCAGCGTTCGGCAGCGGCAGTGGCAAGGGAAGGAATAGATTACGCCAGCATTTCCTGCGTTCGGCGGCAGCAGTGGCATGGAAAGGATAGATATCCAGGACTCGTGTTTGTTATCGGATGTCAGGTTCATGGTTGCGTTAATGCGTCGAGCCCATCTGCAGTTTCCGCCATGGTCCTTTCACGGTGTATTTTTTATAGTTTTTATGGGCACACCTCGAGTGTATGGAAATAAATAAATAAATAAATAAATAAATAAAGAAATAAATATCGATTCAGCGTTTGCCAGCGTAACGCTAGCGTATTCTAGCGTTACGCTAGCCTAGCAAAGGCAGGAAGACTATAGGTATCGATCTTGCGTTTATAGCGTTTCACAAGCGTATGCAGCAATCCCTCACCGGAATTGAACTGAACTATGAAAACGCTGCTTTTGCAGGTAACATATCCTTTTTTAGGGCTGATCTGTAAGGAGATTGTTCCATTTTTTTTTTGGGAACTTTTAGTAATTCGTATGAACGGTCTCTGGTCGAATATACGGCTGACAAATACATGCTCATTCTTATGAAAGATCCTAAATGGTCCCACGCTTATCGTAATGATGATGGTAATGATCGGTTCATGCTTTGCATTTATGCGTTATGCAATTCAACCATTGCATTATGCAATTCAACCAATTTAGTGTACGGTATTAGTAGTGCGGTGCGGCTACACACGCCGCAATTTCACAGCACGCCTAATCGAGCTGTTTTCTACTCTCCTACTCTCCCATAGTCTCTACTCCCCGCCGCTGCAAACGCTAGTGAAACGCTAGTGAAACGCTGAAACGCTAGATCGATACCTATACTTTCCTTGCCCTCGCTACGCTAGCGCACGCTGGTGACGCTGGCATACGCTAGATCGATATCTATCCTTTCCACTGCTGCTGCCGAACGCTGGAAACGCTCGTACGTTGGCGTACGCGCCGCAAAGTATGAACGCAAGCCTTACTCAAAGTTATCCAAGGAAAGCACATAGAAAAACCTACGTGGCGTTTCTGTGATATTTCCCACAGGAGCGATAATCGGTCGTCGACGAGCCGTAGACAGTAGCACAGTACAAGGCGAACCATACTGATCGCAACCATTTCTAGCTATCGTGAGCACCGCTGTCGGCATCTGAAGGCAGTTGGCGCCATTTGACGCCGCGCCATTGACACATGAACAGACTCCTTGCATACATTGAGCGCAATTAGAAGAATAACCGTTGCACTGCGATGATGCTTGACATTGTGAACCTGGTATTTGGTTGAAGAGTGCCACTGCTGAAATTATGAGAATCAGACAGTTAGGGGAGGGGATACATTTGGAAGCAAAATTTCTCACATTTTATAAAAAAATTTCCACTGAACAATTCTCCAAGTACTCGGTCGCGAGACATCCCACGTGCTTAATTTTGCTAGAAACTATACACCAGTATAAAAAATGATATCAACGACCCGACCTTGAAGATGCTTTCATTGTTCGCAATCATTTCCAAGTAAATATACACCAGCCAACACTTATATCAAGAGGAAAAAACACGTCATGCATCCTTCTACCGACTAACAAACAATGGCAATTTACCCGGCAACAGAGAGGGTGTGAGCGTAGGCAAGTTTCGCTAACGTGCCACCTTCACCTTTCTAAAAAGTACGGTATCGATGATGTAAGGCAGGAATACCCGGGTGCCGTCTCCTTACTTTGCACGCGTTATCCTCAAAGTGTGACATTTGCATCGATGCCAGAGATCTGCAGCGAAACACGAATTCAGCGGTAGATAGCAACTAACAGTGCAGCTAATTAAGAGTGAAAGAGCGCAGACAAGTGGCGCGCTCAGTTATGTTCACGCGTGTAACCGGCCGTAAGGCAGTGCAGGTGGGATATGGTGACGGCATCCGGGTATCACTACCCTCCAGCACTTTTGAGCGGAGAAGATGGAATGCTACCGCAGCTATGGAACCATTAACTTCGCACATGCCTTGTTCAGGGAATGAAAACCAAGGTGTTCAGCTCCTCTCGGAGTCAGAAATGTTCAATACTGTATCCCCGTCATAAAACTGCTGGCTTCCGTCGCATTTTAAACTCCCATTTCTCCGTATATTGCATATCCTTCCCTTCTAAAGTTCAGAGGCCACGTCAGCTGCTTTGATCTGGACCGCGTTTGAGGGCGGTGCCCGCGTTGAGATTTTCCTCGCCAGCAGGTAGTCAGGTCCCCGAGGCAGTGATTGCACCAATTTCGCGGCGCAAAATGAGTGAGGAGGCCCACGATGCCGTTCGTTTCTCTTGGCCCCACCCACTATCATTGCCACCACCCACCATTCATTTCTAATGGTTGCCTGATGGTGCGGTTGTTCTGCTACTAACTCTCTCCACTTCGAATGGTGAGAGTGAGGTGATAAGGGAAAACAGCTGATACCAACAAGTAAGAACTCGTGCGACTACGCCCTCTTTTCGCCTCATGCGCGTACAACCTCAGTTCGGCATGGGGTTCTGTACGAAACATATGTGACTGTTTTTTTTCTGCTTTTTCCTTCACTCCTGGTTGTGCTACCGTGTTATTACAGTCTGAGCCGCATGACTCATCAAATTTGAACGCTTAACTCCCGATGGTAGCTCGTGAGGCAGCCTTTCCAAGGTTACCACAGCTCCATCAGAAGAGATGTAGACTGATGTTATCAAACGTTTTGAATCTGCAAGTCAAGTCAGGAGGCTCTCACCCCCTCTCTTTTTTCCACGTCTTTCCTCGATCTTTCTACCATGTTTTTTTATTGTTTCTCATAGTTTTTTTAGTTGTGTCGTTATAGCTGCTTGTTTGGTCGCTGTTTGCAAGGCAAAATCATCACAAGAATGCTGACTTATAGGCACAAGGCTTAGCCGCGGCTAGCGGTCGAGTCTGGACCTCATGTTTACAGGCCTGTCTATCTGATTCGAAGGCCACATCAGCAAAGTCCCCTATCACTCTCCAGCGTGATAACTTTTGCCTTAGCTGGGATCACAACTTCTATTGGAGCTTGAGCTCGGATTCAACGGAAAACTAAGAGGCTCCTAGTTGAAGCGTTTGAAGCACTTACACTTGGAGCAACATGTACCCATTGTACACTGTGCACCTGCGGGACAGGCACTATTTGGTGAACACTGACAGATAGGGTTAGATTGTCTCGGACAGACTGGCTCCATTGACAGCAAGCAGCATCCTCCTGAAAAATATTACTACAAGGGGAAGAGTGGAAGACAATCCCTCGAACTCTCGCACGTGCAGCAGCTGTAAAAGACAGTGGAAGGTCAAGCCAGGTGCAGACTCTGTGCAAGAAATTTAGCCCTTTCTCGGCAACCCGCTTCGGAAAATAAAAAAGGGCAGATAAACAGGAGACTCAGTTACCCGCACGATTATCGATTGGGTAGCAGCATCGCAGGAAAGAAAGGAAATGGGAGGGACAGAAGGAGAAGAGCCCTTAAGCAGTTGTCACATCTCTAATGTACCCGTATGTTAGCTGCAAGTAGATCTCGAATGAACCTAGAACTAACCTCAACATGTTAACTGTTTTTACTAATTGTTTTATGTTCGAGTAGGTTAGTTGCCGGGTATTATAAAGAAGCGAATGGGGAATAATAAACTGAGAAAGAAATATGTCTGGCATGGGGGTCGGAAGACCATGGCGGAACAAAGTGGTGCTAGCGTGAGCAGGGGCGCCTAACAATAAGATGCACCGTTACTAGGTACGGTTTTTGGAGCGCTCACCGAGTGGTGTACATCCGAATCCCGGCGGACATTCAGCTCCACGACTGCAGCGTTGAGCAGCACGACCACCATTTGGACACAACGGCGGTGGCTCCTGACAACAACCTCGCCCTAAAATGGTTGAATAGCAGAACACTGAAAACTTCCAAGGGGAGCAATTGATTTAATTGAAGAATTATATGTTCACCTTCACATACGAATCCCATGGGACAGCTATTACCCATACCGCATACAGACGCGGCTATCAAACCCGTGGAGCACATTGGCATCGCACAGCAGACTCCATTCTCACATTGCTGAAAGTACAAATTATGGAATTGCTGCAAGTACCAATTATGGAGTACACCAAGTTCTTGGCGAAATCAGAATAATCTCAATGAAAGGGAATTCCTCTTCCTCCTGATTCCAATTGATTCTGAGAGCAATATACGCCAGATCACTAGGGAAGGTTTTCCAGAACACCCCCTCCCCCCAATGTTTATCGAAAAGGAGGCAGTTAGATATCATCTCAGTGAACTTCCAGCTCTAGTGAAAACTGCTGCGCAGGCGACTCTAGCAGGAGAAGAATCACTTTCACAGAAATTCCAATCAAGCCCGAGCTATCCCCCTTCTTTTTTTCTAGCTGAATACGACGTTCCTGATGTTGAAAGGTCCCGATGAACTGTATTGGTTGGGAATTTCTTATATGTCACATAGTCAAAACAGACATAGTGAGAAAGTTCGCGTCGTGAAAAGCCCCCTTTAAAACTGGGACAAGACAGTGGTAATTTGTTGCCTCCACACGCGGCCGTCGGACACCCGGGCAACATGGAATTTTCCCATCCATCTCATATTCAAATGACCAGGCAGGACAGTTCATCTGTCGGGCCCACCCACCACTCCCTTGAGAACGTTGAGGAGGAGAATCGAGGAGATTAACTTTCATCATTGCATGAAAGGGAAACTTTGTGCTAAGCTGATTGCTAAAATTGTAGCGTTGCCATTTACTCACATGTCCGCGAGCGCATCCGATACCCATTTGGCAACGCTGCGTTGCTTGAAGACCAGATGGACATCGAGGTAGTTGACAGCATCCTCCACCTATGCACTCGGTTCCGAGAGGGCATCCACGACCTCCACACAGTGAAAGTGCTAGACCTCCTGAAAATAAGAAGCTTCGGAAATTCATCGCCTCTGACTGTGAATCGAAGTATAAGGCGAGATGAAAGGTTTTCATAAACTCATTCTCGAATGGATCTGACTGATCATATCAGTAGTAAACTCCATGTTCGCCTTTCTTGTAACCTGGGCATTTGGTACTTATAGTTCTAATAACTTCTTTCTTATGCCAAACAGGTTTGTATGGTGGAATGCTTTATTTACGCCTGACGTTTCGACAATCTCGTCGTTTTCAAAGGCCTGGAAGCATACCGAAACTTTGGAAACTATCTATCCTATTCAACATGGGCCCGCTCTTAACTACAGGGGGGGCCAAAAAAAAGTCATTTTGCCTCCATGACTTTCAAGGCGCTATAAGTTACACTTTATTAAATTTTTATCGGACATTTTTACTACCATATTAAAGAGCACATTAAATACTATAATGATACTCCGCCACAGCCTTCTGGAGGAGCGCCATCGAGAGATTCGGCCGCGCGAAAGTGAGTGGGTACCGCAGTTGAGCGAGATCGTTGATTTCTCCGCCACTGAAGACCACCCTGTTGAGCTCCGCCCGAACCGAGTAATTGAGGGGGTTTAGTTCAGGACCCCCGCTTAAATACTAGATCTTTTCCAGGTACTCAACGTTCTTCCATTCCGAGTAGGCGGGAGTTTTTCCAAAACCCTTTGATTCCATGTGGTGGCACCCAAACCTGTAGCAGCACAAGGTCTCCAAGAAGGTACGGGCGACCACATGTAGGGAGGATATTCTTCTCGAGTTACTTGATGTAACCGCCAGCGCTCACCTTCAGTCGGGGTCTACAAAGAAAATATCGGTCTTCCCCTTTCCAGGTACCCCGGTCCATACCATCAACTCGCGCCTCGGCGAATACGGTGAAGATGATGTCCTAGACCGTAGCGACGTTGCCGTAGCTGCTCGATGTGGGAGGTCTTGCAGATCAAGAGTACTGACCTCCAGGTAGCTATCTGTGGATGACTTCATTCAAGAAGTTTCGCAGCTGTTTGGAGGCGACGTGAATTCCAAAGGTGTTCTCCAGTCAGGCCGCGACTGGAGATGACTTCATATTTTGGCGTACATGAAGGCGTTGGCGGCACGCTGCCTCAGCTTATAGGGGAAGATCTTGGGTATCTTCCGCCCTGGTACTCATATCCACTTCCTCTGTCTGGGCTGCGAAAACTTCGCTCATATGTGACTCGGCCAGAATGACTTTTTTTCCCGTACCGCCCCCCCCCTGTAGTTGCAAATCAGACCAAGGAACTAAAAGAACGAAGGAAATTCCAGCAAAAAATCTTGACGTTCTTTTAGTAAATAAACCAAAAGAAATATCAAACACCAGTTGGTCAGAAATCGCCTCTATGACCGGACGTGCACCATGGAAAACTGCAGTTCCCGTGGTCTTTATAACATGCAAAGTGGCGTGGATTACCAATGGCAGTAATTTACCAGATACAGTGTTTGACCTGTGGTGCATTATATATCGGTGAAACTGGGAGGCAATTATGTATACGCGTAAAAGAACACCTGGCTAGCAAAAGACGCGAAAGTTTAGTTGCACCGCTCGGCAAACATAGGAGGGAAAATCATGGCGGCTGTGATTTTCGTTATCAAGTGTACGATACTGGCTCGCGAAAATGATGTTGGTGCTAGGAAAACTCTCGAGGCTTTCTGGATAAAGCACCGTAATCCATCTATGAACAACAGGAATGAATGCATCTCAGTGACTGCCGATTCTTGCCCTACATCCCACTTTGCGGGCTTTAACAGTGAGATCGTAATGCACTGCACGTACGCACTTTATCACACTATGAAGTGCATAGCAGTGAACCAGGGCACAGCATTGGTTGGGGAATCCCCATAGGGGGGGGTCGTATTTGGCCGCCAGGAGAGGGGGGGGTCGTAATGAGTGCGGTAGCCAGTATCGAGCAGCGCAAAGGTGTCAGTGTGCTGAATCCTGTGTAGCGGAACTTGCTTCGTAGAGAACTCGGATATGTAAAAAATGAGTACAAAACTTTCATCCATCAAACTAATCCGAAATAATTGGAATTATTAATAAGTCGACAACATCTCGTAAGTGATTAAACACTACAACTCATACTCTGGTTTGCTGCGGATGATGGGGCGTGTCCGCGATCACGCTTGGCGCTGAGCCAACCTGTTTTTTTTCTGACAAACGACAGGACTACCATATCGTTCGTACCAGACGTTTTCCAGCACTTGGTCTCCTTTATCGGAATCAGCAACTATCGGAGCACAGATCTGGCGGCGTCGACACGGACACGCTACATCATCCGCAAGGGAAAACACTGTAGACAAGTGCACAGGTTCGCCATGGACCTCCCTGAATCCTACAGACACATTTGCGCGCGTGGACACACATTATGCACAAGTTGCACCATCCCATCACTTCTGCGCGGACCTCAGTGCGCGGCGCATACAAAGTCAGCGTGATCGGCGCTAAACGAACCATATCCTGCTCCTGCTCCACCACAGGATACGTTCTACATGCGTTCCTGGCTTATGTCGGAACACGCTCACTTTGAACGACGAGTGCACAAGGAAACGGGTTTTTTTCGCGCGGCTTGGAGTGCTCCCTAAGAAATCCCATCGCGCACGATCCTACCATGAATTCCGAAGCTCAGGAACAGTTCAATAGGTTTTTAGAAAGAGAAAATCTTGAGAAGCTCGGATCCGTTCTCAGATTTGTGAAATGTTGAGTTACAAAAAAATATATTGATTCAAACCTGTTCAACTTGAACTTCAACCCTTCACTCCCCAACGAATCCCTATGGCAGATTTCTCTGTGATTTTCGCGCACCTCATAAACATGTTTGTACTTTCAGGCAAGCCAAACCTTTCTAATATCTTTACCACATTCGCTCTCTCGCTTCCCACAGGTCCGCTTTTGAGGAAGTTATGGTCCTTCAAAGACACCCTACTTTGCTGAAAATTCTCGCTCCATGGCTAATAGCCGTTTGCTCCAGTCTCCTGGCTGCAATCTACGTATCGCATTCTTGCCTCGCTACTCCACATCTCGGGGTTTTAATGCATTTTAGGCGTATTTCTTTTTTGTTTTCTTTTTCTGTTGTACCGCTTTTTGTTTTTTGGTTTTAATCATAGTCTCATTTAACTCGCATTATTCGGGGGGCTTGATACCGTCGTCGATCAGGTTGTGGACAAACGCCGGGTACATAAGGAAATCAAGTGCAATTAGGTAGGGACGTGAGGTTTCACGAGGGGATAGCGAAGTTGTTTTATCGATCAAGTTTCAGGAATTGATGGGACGTAAACACGAAAAAGGGGGGCGGACCGAACCCCAAAAAGGGGCGGGTGGGAGCGTACAGGCCTGGCACCAAAATCCCTGCAGTCGAATGCGGGGCCCTGCAGGAGGCGCAGTAGTATTTGCCCAGGTGGGACATAAGGTAGAGCAGTGTCGGCGCTGGGGGAAGGACAAACGGTAACTGGGCTGGGCAGTTTGGGCGTCTGTTCCTGTGCTTTGGAGGCAAACGATGAAAGCTGGGCCCATGGGGAAGAGGATAGAAAGGTGCCAAGGGCGGAGGTCGGGCCCAGGCGCTGAAAACGACGAGCATTGTCGATAAGTCCAGGCCGTATAATAAAGCATGCCACCATACAAACACTGTTTTGCATGAAGAAGAACTGATCATATCAGTAGTATTGCTTGAGGTAAACAGTCTTCTGGAAGGTGACACCAATTAGATTCGGGCGTTCGACATTGTGGGATGAAGCCAGCTTAGCGCCCGGTCCTGTGCATCTGCACCCATGCCCCTGCCTGTGTTCTACTACTTTAGCCCAACCATTGAATCTACCGATGCCGAACTAAAGAGGGAACATCGTCGATATCATTCATCGGTACCAATGCTCTACAGCCGAAGACCGCGGTACTAGATTGCTGGATTCTAGACGCTCATCTGAGCCTGAAAGGTGTTACGGCAAGTCGTATGGTCACACTCTGTACAGTCCACCAGGAAACGGGGAGCTCTTCATGCTGCCCACCTCATCCTTTGGCAGTGGGCGTAATTTGGTCCCACGCAGAAAGTGGATGTACATAAAGCACTGGATATTGCGAAAAAGAAGCAAAGGTAGGACAGTGCTGCCGATGACGCCCGAAATAGGGCCTTTTCCAATCGCTTCAATCCGGGAAGCGGGCGAACGTACCCTTGAGATATTATTGCTGTAGACGCTGGGGCATGTCGGTGAGGACTGGGATTGGCGCGGCTTCAGCAATCGTCCCGCTTGCCTGCTCCCGCGTAGCGCTTGCTTAGAGGCACAATGTTCTTTCTTGCCAGGTATATTCATCCTATACGCCTTGGCAAAAACGATCGCCCCAGGAGCGCTAAGAAAGCTCACTCTACCTAAACGAACCAATCGGTAGGGGGCTCTCCATGATTAAGCGCATAGCCCGAGCATTGAGCCGTCCAACTTTTGACTGTTCGCTGATATTACTCTTTACATGGATGGCAAAGTTAGACATTGCTCCCGAGTTGAATTTGCGCTGATATCCTCCTCTGCCTCAAGCGAGCCAACATGCTAGAAGGGCGATGTCTGGGAGTTGTCTCTTCCCGAAAATCCTTCCAGTGGCACCAGTGGATAACTCGCTCTCATACTTGCCAGTGCGTCAGGAAAGCTTTTTTGGCCCACTTCGAATTCAAAGAAAAGTGACCTTTCAACGATGAACGAACCTGAGGGACATTGCGGAAGGGGGCAGCAGCCACCATTCATACATATGTTACCAGGTGGGCAACAGTTTGCACACCCGAGAGCACATCTGGAAAAACTAACTGTAATCCAATGTAGTATTCATAGCGAACCTTGACCTGTTCCAATAATAAGAATACTTTCTCAGTCAACTTCCATCGCTATCGTGTTTGTTACGGTATATGGTATTAACTATGGTACTTGCTATATCAACGTCTTTCAATGAAGAATATCGCGGGAAAACAAGAATCCTTCCCAAATTGATGCTGCCAACTGGCAACAATAGTGCAACGTTA